CCCCGGCTGAGCCCTCCCGATTTTCCCGGACATGCCTGGCTTTTGGGGATTTCCCCCCGGACGGGGATTTGAGCCCCCAAAAAGCCGGACATGTCCGGGAAAATCCGGACGTATGGTAACCCTAGGACACATGGGTCTCCCAGTTCCCAGCCCACCAGGCCTCAGTCAAAGGGGATTTTGATGGATGAAAACATGAGGATGAGGGCGATGTTCCATCTTGTCTGTGTCCTGTCCCATATGGGGGGTTCAGTTCAGGATTTCTGCTTCCGCATGATGCAGGGAGATTCTGGGGAGCATGCTCAGTGCAGGTGGAATATTCAGACGTTTTTAGCAACAAATAAGAAACTCTACTGAGCACAGGCAAATGGGGATTTTCAGCTGTTTATAACTCAGCCAAATCTGGGTGGATTTTTGTGGGGACAGCTAAAGGCTGCCCCCCGGACCATCGCCTACCAAATGTCAAGTTCCTGCTCCAGAATATGACAATAGAAGAACTCTTAAAATAAAAATGGTTGGAAAAATATTGATAATGGGCAGCGTTGGGCAACATCAATACACTGGTTGCTACCACTCCTTCTTTAGCACCTCCTGTGTTGCCCTCTGATCACTAAAACCTCTTTCTTATTTCCTTATCCTGGTTAATTTCTGGAAGGCCTTGATCTCCCTGTAACTGTCCCTGCAGTATCTTCCATGCCCAGATGGTCATTCTGATCAGCTGAGGGACATGGATGCAGCTTGGTATGCAAGAGGATGCGCTGCCTATCCCTGGGCTCTGTCCCCAAGATCAGAGACTAGGGCCAAGTCTGCCCCAATCTCAGGCTTTTTGTCTGAGCCTCAGGCTTTGGGGGGCTTTCTTGGGGCAGCCACCAAAATCTCAGGACTGTTGGTTGGAGCTGGGTCACTGCATATAGGTGCTCCCGTTGCAGCAAGCGAGAAAGAATGACCGAATACTACGGTTGCCACCTTTCTAATTCCTGGTAACTGGATCCCTGAGGCCCCATTCCTGCCACGCCTCTTCCTCCAAGGCCCCACCTCTTCCCTCAGGCCCCGCCCCTTCTCCACCTCTTCCCCCAAGACCCTGTCCCTATCGCTTGCTCCTCTCACTGGTCGCTTGTTGGATTGTCTCAAGGAGCTTGCCTGCAGATAGGAGGCGGTAATGACCCGTCACCTCCCACTGCCCTGCAGTAACTTTTGGCTCGGGTGTCATTTAGGGTTGCCAGATCCCCGAAAATCAGGCACCTGGCTCCCTAAATGGCACCCAGAAGCCAAAAACCAGACTGTCTGGGTAAAAACCGGACAGGTGGCAAATAGAGCAGTGGGGGTGGAGGGGAGTCCAGACCAGCCACAAAGGAGCCCTGCGATTCTCCTTGTTCACTCACAGGGAGCAATTATTTTTCTCAGGGCTTATTTTAGTACTATTTATTTTGTTTTTGCAGCATCCCCCCCAAGTCCCCAACCAGGACCGGTGGGCCCCATTGTGCGGGGCATTTCCTAGTCAGACTAGCACTATTGCTGCTTGTCAGTAATAAACGCATGGCAAACAAGTGGCAATAAAATCTCTGAGCGAGCCCAGAGGGGGGGCTTAGGGCAGCCTCACAGCGGCAGCTCGGGATTTCTCATTGTGGGGCGAGGGCAGGGTTGGGGGGACAGTCTGGCTTCCCCCTTCAGGCCAGTGAGACGGCCCTGACGGTGTTGCTGCGACTGCGCCCGGCGCTTTGCTCTTGGTGACACTTGGAGTTTGTCATTTTCAGGCGAAAGAGGAGGTCATCGGGAGTTCACAGCAGAGCCATGGGCGGGAGGAGCTGGGGAGGGACCTTGCAAGGGATTTGCATGTGAATGCCCCCATGCGAGAGCCCTATTGTTGTTCAGCAAGGGGCAAAATCTGCATGGGTTTGCAGGAGAAATCAAGGCCTGTCATTAGTGACAGAACTCCTGCCACTGGCTCCATCCTGCAGTCCTAATGCAAGCAAAACTCCCACTGACTATGCATCCGTCCTGCCTCTGGGTGCCTGCAGTTCCCACAAAGCAGAAGCAGGTCGTGCTTGCAGCTTCGTGTGGTTGTTTCCACTTTCTTTTCCTTTGGGAATCCCCAACTCTTCCGTGCCCACCCCAGGAGCCAGACAACCCAGCCTTACTCTCCAGGAGCCTTTTGGAAAATCCCCTCTCTCTCCCTCAGTCACGTGCCTGCTTTCTGGGAAGCGTCCCTTGGAGAACAGACATTCTAGGCATATATGTTCCATTCTATGCATCCGAAGAAGTGGGCTGTAGCCCACGAAAGCTTATGCTCAAATAAATGTGTTAGTCTCTAAGGTGCCACAAGTACTCCTGTTCTTTTTGCAGACATTCTGGGGAGACTCTGTTCTTGGTCTTGTTCTCCTGGGCTCCGCTCTGTTGCTGCCTCAGTCCAACTGTGGCTCAGGTGACCCCTGCCCTCTGCCAGGCACAGCTCTGGGTCTCTCCAGGTGGATAAAGCATACCTTGGGCTCCATGCTGGGAAGGGGGAGGGCAACAGAGCATGGGACCGTGCCTCAGGGATCATTCACTTAAAGCCAGCTGCAGCAGGCCGGCCTTGTCCAGGCGCAGGAGGGCAGTGACCTAGCTATCCTATCCCAGCAGCCTGAAGGGAGGATTTTGGCCGCTGGTCCTCATCTCCCTTCCTGCGGAAAATCCCAGAGATCCAGGTGGGGCAGCTACCAGAGAACAAAATGTTGTTTGCCAACATTTCAGCACAGGGGTTCCTTCCAAGAGTGATTCAGTTAATAAAACAAACAAGGTTTCCTAGCCAAAGGGAAGCCTGTGCCGTGTATTAGGGACAGAAAGACGGAACCACAACCAGACAAGCTGGCAAAAGCAGGTGTCCTACGTAAGGGGCTCGATCTTGAGGATTCCCCCTGAACGCGGGAACTCCCAGGAAGCTGGTGCAGCCAGATCCATGCTGGTTCTCTTAGCCCTCCTCCACGGCATGCTGGAGGCAAAGCCAGAGTGCCCTGTGCTCCAGCAATCACAACCGGCACAATGGTCCCTTGGGGACCATTACAAGCTGCTGTCAGAACAGCTTTGAGGGACTAGATCCAACACTTCCTGACCACGGCAGCCTTGGGAACTGGGGCAGATGTACAGTTAACTTGCTCCCACCCACCCTCCCGTTGTGCCCTCCAGGGTGTCTACTTTGGACTCGCAAGTTATTTACGTGCCAGATGTGCTCAAGATTCATATGTCCCTTCATGCTTCGGCCACCATTCCAGGGGACATGTGTCCATGCTGATGACGGGTTCTGCTCGATAATGATCCAAAGCAGTGCGGACTGACGCATGTTCATTTTCATTCTCTGAGTCGGATACCACCAGCAGGAGGTTGATTTTCTTTTTGTTGATGGTTCGGGATCTGTAGTTTCCTCATCAGAGTGTTGCTCTTTTAAGACTTCTGAAAGCATGCTCCACACCTCGTCCCTCTCAGATTTTGGATGGCACTTCAGATTCTTAAACCTTGGGTCGTGTGCTGTAGCTATCTTTAGAAATCTCACATTGGTACCTTCTTTGTGTTTTGTCAAATCTGCAGTGAAAGTGTTCTTAAAACGACCATGTGCTGGGTCATCATCCGAGACTGCTATAACGTGAAATATATGGCAGAATGCGGGTAAAACAGAGCAGGAGACATACAATTCTCCCCGGAGGAGTTCAGTCACAAATTTAATTAACGCTTTTTTTTAACGAGCATCATCAGCATGGAAGCATGTCCTGCGGAATGGTGGCCAACGCATGAGGAGGCATATGAATGTTTAGCATATCTGGCATGTAAATACCTTGCAATACTGGCTACAAAAGTGCCATGCAAACGTTTGATCTCACTTTCAGGTGACACTGTAAATAAGAAGCAGGCAGCATTATCTCCTGTAAATGTAAACAAACTTGTTGGTCTGAGCGATTGGCTGAACAAGAAGTAGGACTGAGTGGACTTGTCGGCTCTAAATTTTTACATTGTTTTGTTTTTGAGTGCAGTTATGGACCAAAAAGAAAATCTACATTTGTAAGTTGCACTTTCATGATAAAGAGATTGCACTGCAATGCTTGTATGAAGTGAATTGAAAAATACTATTTCTTTTGTTTATCATTTTTACAGTGCAAATATTTGTAATAAAAATAATATAAAGTAAGCACTGTATACTTTGTATACTGTGTTGTAATAGAAATCAATATATTTCAAATGTAGAAAAATATCCAAAAATATTTAATACATTTCAATTGGTATTCTATTATTGTTTAACACTGCGATTAATCGTGATTAATTTTTGTAATCATGATTAATTTTTTTGAGTTAATTGTGTGAGTTAACTGCGATTAATCAGCAGCCCTAATATTAACCCTTTCAGCCAGGGCTGGTTCCAGGCACCAGCTTAACAAGCAGGTGCTTGGGGCGGCCAAGGGAGGGGGCGGCACCTGCAGAGGGGGCAGCATCTGCAGCAATTCGGGGGCGGCAGGTCCCTCACTCCCTCTAGGAGTGAAGGACCTGCCGCTGAACTGCCACCGCTGATTGTGGGTTTTGTTTTTTTTTCCCCCCAATTGCCGATCGTGATCGTGGTCTTTTTTTTTTTTTTTGCTTGGGGTGGCAGAAATGCTGGAGCCAGCCCTGCTTTCAGCAACTGACTGGGGAACTTTCTCCGCCCTGCACTGCTGTGAAATGTACAACCATGATACTCACCCCCATCTGTCTGTCTCCCCTTTCTCATTAGGACTCAGTTTGTCTGTCTGGTCGGCATCGTCACCCTGATGTCATTCATCCAACCAGCCTTCAACGCTTATCTGCTCAACAGCATTTCCCTCCATCTCCTGTACTTAACATCTCAGGAGCTGAAAAAGTAAGATGTGGCTTTTCTTTGCAGGAAAGTTTGTTTGCACTTTTATTACATGCTTCTGCAGGGAAGAGTGCAGGGGAAAGCCAACACACACAGACGCGAAGAAGTACCCACACACGTTTGTGTGCACACAAGCAAAGACGCACATACCTGCACACAAATGTGCCCACACAGGCCCATAGGCACACACAAACACACACACAAGTGTACGCACACCCACATGCACTAAAGCACACGCACACAATCATGCCAGCACACACATGCAAAGGTACCTGTGCATGTACAAACATCCTCACACCTGTGTGCACCAACAGGCACAGACACTGCATCACCAGCTCTGCAATAAATCAAGATTTCCAAAGAAGCTGCCATAGGAATACACAAACACTTTGGACAGACGTACATCTGTCCATTCAGATTTCTTTTGCTTATTTGCCTTGTGCCTCAATCTGACTTTTAATAATCAATAGTACCTGTGGACAACAGTGGTGAAATTAAACTGAAAATCAAACTGGGGACTTCTCCTACATTCTGTGAGGACCCTAAACCATAGCTGAAATAATATATGGAGATATACCTATCTCATAGAGCTGGAAGGGACCCTGAAAGGTCACAAAGTCCAGCCCCCTGCCTCCACTAGCAGAACCAAGTACTGATTTTGCCCCAGATGGCCCCCTCAAGGATTGAGCTCACAACCCTGGGTTTAGTAGGCCAATGCTAGGGTTACCATATCTAATAAATAAAAAAAGAGGACCCTCTATGGGCCCTTGCCCTGCCCATTTCTCCACCCCCAGCCCCGCCCCAACTCCGCCCCTTCCCCGCCCCCTCCTCCCTCCCACTCCCAGCCACGTGGAAAGGGCTGCCCCAGCGCTACCGGCTTCATGGTTTGCCGGGCAGCCCCCAGACCCTGCGCCCCCGGCCGGGCACTTCCCCTCCTGGGCTCCGGCGGCACAGGGTCCGGAGGCACGGGGGCTGCCTGAAGCCGGTGGCGCTCGGGCAGCCCGGCTCTTAAACAAAGCCGAAGAGTCAGGGGAGGAGCAGAGCCGCCATTTTCCCGGACATGTTCGGCTTTTTGGCAATTCCCCCCGGACGGGGGTTTGAGTGCCGAAAAGCCTGACATGTCCGGGAAAAAGAGGACGTATGGTAACCCTAACCAATGCTCAAACCACTGAGCTATCCCTCCCCCATAACTTGAACAGAAGTCAAGCTGTATACGTTTGTATAACATCTGTGCAAAGGGCTTTGCAAGCCTGCAGTTTAGATCTGTTATTTCAACAGACATAAGCAATTATGTAAGAACCTGCCATGCAACAATTTGCTAGTTTAGAGCCGAGTCGGCAGAATTAACAACAACTCAGTCATCAAGCGACGCAAATGCCTTGAATCAATTACAGATTTAGAAACTGGTACTAGTTTATTTACCAGGTGAGTGTTGTGGGAAGTCAGCCAAGCGTCAAGTTACGGCGTGATAGTGGGCGCTGAGCAGCAGCCATTGCTGATAAGGTTGCAAAAGGTATTCTGTTAATCCCCCTCTTTTCACCTACTCAGAATTGACCACAATATTCACCCGTTAGTGTCGGCCTGTGGGGAATTTTTTTCAAGCTTGCACTAAGCCCCTTCAGCCATTAGGGTGCCAAAAAAAAAAAGCACTTTTCTCATCTGACAATTCTAACCTCAAAATGAAAGGAAACTAGATATTGAAACCTACTTTAAATACCTTTAATGGGAAAACAGTAATGACTGAATCTCACCCGTAGGGAGACATTCACACAGGCGCAGAGGAACCGAGGCGTAACTCAAAGACACAAATCTTGTTTTGGTTCTGCCCATTAGGGGAAGGATGACCCAGTGGTTAGAGTGCTAGCCTGGAACTTGGAAGGTCTGGGAACTTCCTGCTTTGCCACTGTTCCCCTTCTTTAGAAGGGAAATAAATAACACTCCCCTACCTCACTGTGCGTTTGTGAGGCTAAATACATTAAAGACTGTAACATGCTTAGATGGGGTAATGACAGGTTTCAGAGTAGCAGCCGTGTTAGTCTGTATCCGCAAAAAGAACAGGAGTCCTTGTGGCACCTCAGAGACTAACACATTTATTTGAGTATAAGCTTTCGTGGGCTACAACCCACTTCTTCGGGTAATGAGGATTGTACAAACGGCTAAGATAACACCTGAGTAAGTCTATCTCTACTCTAAATGAGTGTATCCTAATTCTATTCTCCATGAGCTTGATCCAAAACCTGCTGATGTCAATGGAAAGACGGCCTCCCAGGGGCTTTGGAACAGGCCATCCGTTCCGATTCAGGTGGGCCCTAGAAAGATACAGAGCCAGTGCCTGCATTAAGGCCCCAGTTCAGCCAGGCATTCAGGTACCTGCTTAAGCACATCCCTATTCAGGGAAGTAATTGAGCATGTGCTTAAGTGCTTTGGTGAATAGGGATGGAGTGCTGTGCTCAACTGGGGCTTAAATGACACAAAAACCTCAGACACAAGGGGGGTGAGATAATATCTTTTACTGAACCAGCTTCCGTTGGTGAGAGAGACAAGCTTTCGAGCTTACATAGAGCTCTTCTTCAGGTCTGGGAAACCTACTCAGGGTATGTCTACACTATAGGGTGACCAGATGTCCTGATTTTATAGGGACAGTCCCGATTTTGGGGGCTTTTTCTTACATAGGCACCTATTACCCCCCACCTCCTGTCCCGATTTTTCACACTTGCTGTCTGGTCATCCTACTACACTAGCACTTTGGTCGGTATAACTTGGATGTTGCTCAGGGGTGTGAAAAAAACACCCCGCTGAACGACGTACGTTACACCGACAAAAGCGCCGGTGTGGCCAGCGGTATGTCGACAGGAGACGCTCTCCCGTGGACATAGCTACTGCCGCTTGTAGGAGGTGGTTTAATTATGTCGACAGCAGAGTTCTCTCCCACCAGCATAGAGCGGCTACTGGTGAGAGCCTACAGTGGTGCAGCTGTATCCGTACAACCTTGCTGCTGTAAGCTTGCTAGACATGACCTTAGGGCTTGTCTACACTGACAATTTACAGCGTGGCAACTTTCTCGCTCGGGGGGGTGAAAAAACACACACACCCCCGAGCGCAGCAAGTACCAGTGTGGACAGCGCACCAGCGCGGTCCCAGCGCTGGTAGCTACGCCCCTCGTGGAGGTGCTTTTTTTAGAGCTCCCTCCCAGCGCTCTGCCACGACCACACAAGCCACGTTAAAACGCTCCCGTGGCAGCGCTTTAGCATTGCCAGTGTAGACAAGCCCATAAATGTTACAGCTAAATACCAGGTGGAACGGATTGTTTAGCATAAGGAGTTAACACATATTTCAAGTTGAAGTGGCCCATTCACACCTCTCCAGTCATAGGGGGAAAGGAGAGAAAAAAGCTGGGGGGGGGGGAGTTAGTGGGGATTGTTGTAATAAGCCATAAATGCAGTGTCTCTATTCAGTCCGTGATTTTTAGTGTCTAGCAAAGTTAAGCTCCCAGGCTCGTTCAGCTCAAATGAGGGATGTAACTAAAGATGCTTCAAGGTGCCATCTAAACCAAACTGTCAAAACCCCAAGGAAATAATAAATCGTACTGAAAATGGACAGGGAACCCACAAAACTGTGAACAAAGACAACTTGCCTTTATTTTAAGGATCAGGCTGGACAGCTGGACCCCACTGACATTTGGGATTGACACTCAGCCTCTCAGAGTGAGCTCATACAGGCTTCGCTGCCCCCAAATCAGTAAGTTCAGGCTCACCAACCTGAGAAAGAACGGACAAATTATCGTTTCTTTGCAGATGCTCAGAATCTAGTGAGCTGGGGAAGGGACTCTTCGTCTGTAGGTCAGTGGTTCAAATCCAGCTTCTGTCAGTGAAGAGCGATTGGTGTTCCCAATTTGAAGCTGTTTGATGGCTTCTGACTGTGAGGTGGGCTCAGTTCCTAATGGGCAAATGCCCAAGCACATGAAACCACCAGCACAACTGGTATGAATGAACCCTCCTGTTGACAGTCTAAGGAGTATGTCTACACGGCAATCCGGTGTTGCAACTGCCGCACGTGTAGACGTACCTGAGCTTTGATCTAGTTAGATCACCGCTAGCTTAAGTAACAGCAGCAGTAAACGCACAGCAGCACAGCACAGGTTAGCCCGGCCCACCCTCCTAAGGCTACCGCAGCTTCACTGTTACCTAAGCCATCTTGGGGCTAGATAGATCAAAGGGAGCTTGATATACTTCCTCCTCCTCATGCTGCAATCACCCTCCTGACTTCTGTGCAGAAGTTTGCTCTGCCACTCCCCGTACTGTACTTGTTCTGGGGACAGAGGCTGGTATTTTCAGAAGTGCCTAAGGGAGTTAGGAGCTGAAAATAGTCCACTTGGAGTTAGGTTTAAGTGGGAGCCGTGTTAGTCTATATCAGCAAAAAACAAAAACCCGAGGAGTCCTTGTGGCACTTTAGAGACTAACAAATTTATGTGGGCATAAGCTTTCTCTAAGGTGCCACAAGGACGCCTCGTTTGTTTGTTTTTTCAATTGGAGTTAGGTGCCTTACTCCCCTAGGCTCTTTTGAAAATCCCACCTGAAGGGTTCCAGGGTTGTCAATACCGCACATTTCATCATCACCAAACCAGTGCTTCATTTGGAGTGAAAAAGATGCTGGGGCTCAAGCAATATTTTTACTTTCACAACTGATGCAGCAAGCCCAGAGGGGCCGGACTATGAACTGCCAAGCCTAGAGGTGCCCGGGCTCGGCCCTGGCAAAAATTATGCACTGCACACTGCCAGTTAGATGATGTCTGTCTGTATCTGTGCAAGTTTTTTGTTGAGGTTGATGGATTTCCACTCCATACGGCTAAATTTAGTGCCTTGCATGGTGTCAAGTATCAGGGGGTAGCCATGTTAGTCTGTATCTACAAAAACAACAAGGAGTCTGGTGGCACCGGTACATCCGCCTTAGGCCGTACAGTCAGAGCCCCTGATGGTGTGGCTGATGTGGTTGGGTCCTCTGATGCTGTTGCCAGAGTAGATATGGGGACAGAGTAGGCAACGAGGTTTGCTACAGGGATAGG